ACTTCTCTCCCTCTCTCTCCCTCTTTCCCTGTATGCTTCTTTTTTTCTTGTTTGCTCTCTCTCGGGTATCGTGAGTGTCTGTCGTTGGGTGGTCCTGGTTTACAAGGGGCGGGAAGCTACTGTAGGTAGACCCCTGGTCTTGGCCCCTGGGTTGTTGGTGCTGGTGCTGGTGGATGCGGCATGTCTCCTGTCGATAGCCCGTGCAGCGCACTTGCATCATGTCTGCGATGGGGGCATGCAGTGGTTTCTCGGTTCTCCGGAGCAAGTTTTCCCACTGGCACTTGGTAGGTAGGTGGGCGTTGGGCATCAAGTTCACGATGGCATACTGATGTTGAGAGGGTATTAGTCGGTCTTGATATGGCTACGACTCCGAATACGACTACCACCGCTGACTTGGTGGACAGTACTCCGTATTATTACTAAGTTGGTCTAGCAGTGATATCATCTGGAATCGTATGGAAATACAATTTTTTTTTTTTTTGGATAGAAAGAGAGAAAAGAGAGAGAGAGAGACAGAGAGAGAGAGAGACAGAGAGAGAGAGAGAGCCTGTCATTAAAATCCCCAAGTGGCAATCACCCAGGGCCCTCGCTCTTTCCTACTTCTTCTAGATAATTTCTGGTGGCGCGGGGGGGGAAGGCGGGTGAGACGGGCCGCTCTTACCCCCAAAAACCTTAACACTGTCGTCATCATTCTCCCCCATTTCCAATTCCTCTCTCCCTCTCCCTCCCCTCCCCCTCTTCTCCCTCTCCCTCTCCTCTGCAGTCGTCCTACTTTACAGATTACACACATGAAGCAAGACAGGTGTTCATTCACGAATACTTATCCGGACCACCGGCCACGTATTACACTTTCATCCCTTTTCAACCGGCTTGGGTCCGGCCCACAGGATCCAGATTCCCGCAAACATGGCCGTCTTTCAGCACGTATCCACTCTTCTGCAGCCATCACCGACGCCATGGTCGACGGCGTCTGTTGCTCCCCTTTCCTAGAAGGGTAATGAGAACGAAGGGCTGGCCGATCTCAACCCGGACAGAACAGCGGCTCACGCCTTTATGGATGACCGACAGAGAGTGCGTGATCTCCTGTCTCTCTTTCTACCTATGGGATGCATTTGCTCGTCGCCTTTCCCTTATGGGGTATAGAATCAACGATGACGCACAGAGCCATTCATTCCATCAATCGCCCCGTTCTGTCCTCAGACTTGTGCCGGTGCTTTGTTTGTGAGTTGTCATGTCTTGATATTTTCATCACGTTATTGGTGGGACTGAATTAGGTATATTATAGTGTCGTCGGAAAGAATATATCTCCAGTAATATAGGTACTTGCATAGCTATTCCTATATTATAGGGGGAGTACGGATGAATATTGTACAGGTATTCGCTCCATGTCCCTGTCTAACCTGGTGACTTATCTTAGGGATTTCAACTGATGATATTCCTACTCGGTAGTTTCCTCGTGGTGTATGCTAAATCATTTACTCGTTCCGCGGTGTTACCCTCCTTCGTGTCCTGTGCGCAGCCCTTGGATGCCCTTTCAACTTTGGACATTCCAGGCTACAGGAAAAACTCTAGAGCCATTGAATGATGCAAAAAAAAAAAAAAAAAAAAAGATGAACATCGGAAATAATAAAAAAATTAAAGAATAAAAAAACTACACAAGGACGGTCAAGCTACGAGTACCACCCAACTATAGCTACTTATTATACATGTACTATGCTAGTCGTCCCGCACTGCCCCTCCATATTACTCTGTCGTGAAAAGCGATTGGCTCTGACTGACAGAAGCGTTCCCCTTTAGGGAATTCTTGCGAAAAGGCGCGTTTCCTTTATAGCCTGGCACTGCGGTTGACCTTGTTCGGCACCGACACCGAGGCGCCGGTACGGTGCACCGATCAGTACACTGATGCGAGATTCTGAGGGTCCTGGTCCGGAATATTACAGGGAGGAGGGAGAAGGAGGAAGAGGAGGAGGAAGAGGGAGAAGGAGGAGGAGGAGGAGGAGGAGAAAAAGAATTGAGCCTGGAACCTCCGGAGGCCACGACTTGGCCGACAATGACCGTCTCCTAATCGAGCCCTGCGAAGCACACCGATACACGGGAATACCTTCTGAATATGGGGTCCACGCACGAGCCTAGTATTGAACCAGTCGAATCCACCTCGACATCACTACAGGTTCTCCAAGGTTCTCATGGAGAGAGAGAGAGACCAAAAAAAAAGGCCAAGGAGAGGAACTAACAACTTGTGACTCTCCCGTTCTGTCCTGGGTCCAAACCCGGTCCGTCACCGCCGTCTACGAATTACGAGTTACTCACATCGAGCCACTCAAACGATTAGGCAAAACACTCGGGATTACCCACCAAGTGTATCACCGGCATTCATCCCTCGCAGTTATTGCCCAACTTATGCTTTCGAAGTCGCGACTGGCACAGAACGTTTGAACGGTCCACACAGCATCTTAGTTATCCCAACGATCTCGGCGGCTTCCAGCTGCTGCCGGACTTGTATTACTTTCAGCTAGCTACTCTCGTATGATGAACATGTAGGAAAGATACTATACTACTATTTCTACCACTACAGTTGCCCTCTTGCTCTCTTTTAATACCCTGCCGTTTTCCCGCACATCGCTGCCTCTTGTGCTTCTCTGCCTGTATATGTACGTGCACTTGGCACCACCGAGGAGAGTGTACCACTGATACGGTCTGCTTTTTCAACCTGCATTCGCGCCCATATTGATTCGAAAAATATACTCTTGTCGTCATCTCTGTGGCCCCATTGACCACCACACGACAAAACCCCGCTACCTCGGAACATCTGCCTTGGTTTTTTTTCCCTCCCTCCGCCCCTTCTGTCCACGTCCTTGCATGATGGTTTGTGCGACCCTGACAGCCGTCTGGGTGTGCATAAAAGAGTAAAAAAAAAAAAAAAAAAAAACTATGTCTTCGACAGCAACTCAAGTCCTCGTCAACTCGTCAACTCGTCATGGTTCTGGCCGAACGACTCGCAACACAAAAGGGTCGTCCCCATACTGGACAACAGTTATTGATGCGGAGATACGAAACGTTAATTATATGGATGCTTCAAGGCCCGGGCTTCCTCAACTGAGCTCAGAGTTGAAGACTCTAGTATGCGATCAGGTATGGAACTTCCCCCCGCCCTCCTCCCTCATCTGCCCCCGGCGACTCCCTAGTTCCGTTGTGTAGTAACAAGACAAAAAAAAGAACGGGAAAGAGAAAGGATAAAAGAAAGAAAAGAAGAAGAAGAAGAAGAAAAACACAGGACCTTGTTCATATACTGACTGGTTTGATAATTTACAATAGTTACGAGATATTGACACTGATTCTCTCCGTCAACTACGTTTGGCATCGCGGGAGTTCAACGACATTGCCACCCCCGTCTACTATCGCACCCTCGTGCTGAACGAGCTCCTCGTTCATGAAGACGCACAGACACTCTATCCCGTGACCCTGTTCCAGAACATTGCCTGCTTCACCAAGCATCTCGTCATACGAAGTACCCTTGATCCCACAGGAGTCAGGAGGATCCTCTCGCTCACGGCGTCACTATCGTCCATCACGTACGTCATCCACATCCAGATGACCTTCCGTCTCCCAGGTCAACACCGGGCTAACCTTGGGCCTTTCTTCTCTTTCTCGCAGCTGGCAATTTGAGCAGGTTGACCTGAACACGGGCGGGACGTGGTTCCCATCAGACGTCCTTGACCTAGACGGCATGAGGCAGCAGGGCACGAGGCTGCACATCGAGGACCTCCCGACGCGACAGCTGGACAGCGACACGTACCTCCGGGCCGTCCCCAGCGATCTGCTGACGTCGATCAAGGTGGCCAGCCTGGCACCCCCGCTGACCGGGCGACTGCCGGAGCTGAAGCGGCTGATGCTGCACTCGCGCAGCCTCGAGGCGTTCCACTACCGCGACCGCGGGCAGGGTAGCCAGCTCAAGTTCGACAGGGGGGAGCGCATGCCGCCCCTGGTGGACCTCTCGCTCGTCTCGTACGACTGGAACCACTCGGAGCAGCAGGTACGGGAGCACTGGGACTTCTCCCGTCTGGAGTCGCTGGAGCTGCTGTCGGTCCCGTACTACAACTTCATCAGCTCGGTGCCCCGCGGATCCCTCTGGGGCCTGAGGGCCCTCCACCTGGACGACTTCAGCGCCCACCTGCCGGACCGCCGGCGGGAGGCGACCGCTCTCCTGCACGACCTGCTGCTCGACGGCATAGGCGGCCTCACATCCCTCGGCGTGACGTGCCACGTCCGTCGTCTGGGCCTGGACGCCATACTCCGACACGGCCACGGCCTCGAGTCGCTCCGACTCCGCGACCACGTGGGCTTCGGCACCGACGGCACCCGCTGCCCCACCCTCGATCCGCGCGACCTGTCCGTCCTGGCCGTCCACCTCGTCTGCCTGCGCACGCTCGAGCTCGACATGGACACCCGCCTCTGCCGTGCCGACCAGTTCCTCGCCGCCATCCTCCTCGGCTTCCCCCGACTCGAGACGCTGACGCTGCACATCCCCACCACGATATCCATCAACGAGAACGACGACGACGACATCCCCTACGGCGCCGAGGACCCGGACCGCGACCAGGTCTCCGCCATCCTGACCATGCTCGTCGACGGTAGACCGGATCTCCCCTGGAAGCAGGTCACCATCAATGTGGGCGGGTGGAAGAGGATCCTCGTCAGGAGACTCAGCCCGGCGTGGAGATCGCTCAATATGCGCGGCATATTTGCCGAGAGGTGTTTTGTCATGAATGGTGACGGCAACGGTTGCTATACCACTCGTGAGATTGAGGGGGGGTTTTGAGATTCCTCTGTCCTTTCTTTTTCTGCTCCTATCCTCTTCCTCCTCCTCCTCCCCCCCCCCTCCTATTTCACTCTTTCCACTTGCTTCAACCTCTCTACGGCTCCCCTTTACGGGCAACGAACGATACAATGACTTAGCATAATAGATATGAATATACGTAGCATGAATATATTAGACGACGGATCTTGTATGTATCTGTTCATTCTTTTGAAACAAAGAATCCAGCGTTAGGGCTCTGCAACCCTCGGTCCGCAAGTGACGCTGAACGGCATGTCTGGACATGCTGTCGATGTTTCTATTCCTTGGGAGACTTGACTGTTCCTCTCCACGTCGTCGCCGGCTTCTGCCAACATGCACTCGGTTAAGGAACAGCTTGTCGGCTACCAAGCATTACATGCACCCGGCGTGTAACTGCGCTTATAACGTCGCACGTCTTCACGTACGAATACGAGTATCTCTAGATGTATGTGCTCTGTGAATGGTATCAAGGGCGGGAGACAGCTGAGGGAACTGAGCGTCTAGGTGATCGGTGGCTCCTAGATGACGACCTAGTCGTCATGCCGTTGCAGTCAAGTTGCTATCAGCTGATGGAGAGGCCCACCGCGTCTGTCCGCGCCTCTCTCTGAGACTTGGTGATTGGTGATTGGCGATTGGCATTTGCAGGGGTTTTGGATGACTTTTGACTCTTCTTTTCAGTCTTCTTTTACTGCACCCACACACATGGGGGCTTCGCCGAGACATCTCTCGTTGTTTTGAATGTTGCCATGCAATATTATAGACTCTGAGGATGTCCGTATTTCCCAAGTCGAATGCCGAGGCGATATTGAAAGGTCGTGAGCGTTGGATGACGAATCGGTTCAATGTTTGTCCTCACGGCGAAGACCTCTTGTATCCGTGACGACGATTACTAACCACAGAGCCATACAGAAGATATATGTCGGAGTTGGTAGCACGACTATTTCTCCCCCCTTTGGGAGGAATGCTTCTTGGTATAAGGATAGGCTGTCTAGTCGGTGTAGTTGCGTGTATCTTGCTTTATCAGTGATCTTTTGTCTCCTCGAGTGATCGGTTCGGTATAGAGTAGATGACAAGGACAAGAATGACCCTGTAAAGGGAGAACACGGGGTAATGGACACGACGGCAGATACAGAACTTGAAAAGGTATTGGTAGTTCAACTGAGCACTCATCTAACAGTTTGCTCCTATATTTCTAGAATCATGCCAACGTCTTCTCCTTCATTCTCACCAGCACTAGGACCACGGATACCCTCTCAGGACGTCCAACGTCGGCCTCGTCGCTCACCCCCCCTCTCCCCTCCCCCAAGGAGACAATTGACAGATCAGGATCAGGTGATCAGGTGCAGGCATGTTTCCCGGCCGTCTGAGATCGGTTGCATAGAGATAGGGATTAGCATCAGGTTTCACATGACACCTCTGTCTCTCCGTGTATCGTGTATCTGTCTCAGCCTTGATTCCCGACTGATTGATTCAGGCAGGTCTTGTTCCTGAGTGATCTTCCCGTTACTTTCCGTCCCTGGGACGTTCCAGATGGTCATGGATATTCAGGGAATTCGACCGGCCCAGCGGCACGACATTGCACAGAAACTATTACCTAGTCAAAGAAGATTTTTTTTTTATAAAAAAACTTTTTTTAGAAATAAAGAGAAAAAGCAAAGCGTGTTGCAGAGGAAATACGTACGATACTTGTATGAGATAGCACTATTGGTGGTCTCCGGATGTTCCTGGATGCGGGTTCACATCAGATCATCTGCAGTCGAGACCGAGAGACAGAAAGCAATGATCTTGTTTTTTTAAGATTCAAGGGAGGATATGTACGCGTACCGTATATACCTTTTATCGCAGTCGCATTGTTACCAGTCACATCGACTTTCAGCTCACATCGGCCATGGACCATCATATCCGTCATTCCTCGCGCCCCTTTTCGGCGGGCCACGACTCCTCCATCAGTGGTTAGCCCAAAGACCACGAGAGACATTACGTACTACGCCTCACATGACAACGAAGACACCCCCCCCCCCTCCTCCCTCCCTCCCTCCATAAGGAAGACGGAAGATTCCATATGGAATATCAAAAGGAGGAGGAGGAGGAGGGGGAAGGGGGGGGGGGGTGAGGGGAGTATGTGTCCCAGAGTCCAGTTGCACGCGGCATGATAGCGTCATCTGCATTCCAGTCAAGTCACACACTACGCACGACACGACGGCCAAAGTCTCTTTTTGAACCGGCGCCTCCCGGGGCCGCGGTCATTACCACTTGAATCCTAGGCACATGGATCACATTCCACCTCGGACCGATCCTTGATGATTCTCCCTTGGGCTGAGTGGATGGCAAAATGAAAGTGGATAGAAGAGCCAGCATGTAAATGAGTATCAGCCATACCCAGAGCATTACGGGAGTGGCATGGCATGACGTGACTCGCTTTCAACACAGTCGTGTGTAAGACAACACTCTAGATCAATGCCCCCCCTCTCCCCTCTTCTTTCTTTTTTTTCCTTTTCCGTTTCCTACGTCAGATCCAGTCTCGGCATGTCCGAGTGGTCGACTAGGAGAGGGGGGGAAATGTTGTTCTGAACCATCACCACGAGAGCGCAACGAACCAACCCCCGTCCCCTTCTCTGATGAAGGGTTGAGTGTGAAGGAGGTTCATCGAGGGGGAAAGTACCATGCCATTACAGAGTGAAAAAGAAGAAAAGAAAAAAAAAGAGGGAATCACTACAGATAGCAACAGCAGAAACATCGTCAACAACAACAACAACAACAACAGCAGCAGCAGCAGCAGCAGCAGCAGCAGCAGTCTCCTTTCGTTGACCCCACAGAGAAAAAAAACGGAAAAGGGCGGCGGAAGGGAACGAAGGCAGGACCGTGCGGGCCGAAGCCATGCTAAAGTCGAAAAAAAGAAAAAGAAAAAGAAGACGGAATTCGGGAATGGCCATCATGTGAGACAGGACAGGGAGAGGGAGGGACGGAACGGCTTGGTAAGGATCCTGGGGAAAAGAAAAGAAAAAAAAAAAAAAAGTCAAGACGGAGTAATTTCATGCCATACGCTAGAGAAGTTTGCCATGTCTCGGGGGGAAAAAGGTTTCTCTTTTATTTTTCTTCTTTTTTTTTAGGACTTGTAGTATTATTACGAGTACGAGAATATACATGCACTACTGCCATGTTGATATATGATACCCCTACTTGATATCTGTATCCGTAAATCCGCAACAGTTCATGACGTCTCGGACAAAGGGGGGAGGGGGGGAAAGCCTGCATGAGAAGGATCTAAGACAAGAAAAGGTGGACGACCTGCATAATCTCCAGAGACAAGACAAGAAAACAGGTCAGAGGGGGGACGCCATGGCAATGTAAGTATACACATCTGCCAATCCGCCATACACCCACCCCCTTTCCCTTGCAAGATATCTTACCGTGCAAACCCCAACCCCCCTAGGAATAGAAAGGTCTGGTCTGGCTCAACCATGATAAGCGTCAAGCTAGTACAGAGTAGTGTAGAATGATGATCCAGAGGACACATGCAGGTACCGTCTGTCCTTGACTGATAGTCCTCCTACCAGTACTACTGCCAAGGTTACCTAAAGTTGCCATCAAAGTCCCCCGAATGGAGAACAGCTTGGCCCTCTCCTGTGTGGCCGAACCCCCCATCACAACCACGTTCCTCACACGCCCCTTACCTGCTGCTGCTACTCCTACTCCTCTCTTCCTTCTCTACTCCCTCTTTCTATCCTGCCTTGTCCTCTTCCGGCTCCGGCTCCGGCTAAGGCCCCTACAGTGAGGCGACAGGCATAAAGTAGGTATGAACATGAGAGCAGCAACCCTCCCACTCCGCCTCCCTCCCTCTCTCTTCCCAGCCCGCCTAAGCTGGAAAAAAAAAGGATAGGAGGAGAGAAGGAGGAGTGGGAGAGAGCCGAGAAACTTGCAACCACGTTACACCGACGTATGCAGACTGTCGCAGAGGACGGTGGAATCGTACGTACTGAGCGTGGATATAGAACAAGACTCTCTTCTTCACTAATAAGTCCACACCCCACGGCATCAAGGGGAACAGGAGAACCAGCAAGAAATTGATCAGAGAGCACAGTCTTCTTTCTTCCCTCTACACCCCACAGAGGGCAACGACCTCGTACACAGACGCACTAATATAGACTTGGGAGGAAAAAGGGGGCGGGGCACAAAGAAAAAGGGGGAGGGGGGGTAAGAAAAAAAAGGCACCGCTCCCTTTTTTATCTTCATCAGACAAGAATACATGTTTGAATACAGGTAATAGTAAAATATAAAAAATAAGAAGCAAGAAGAGACCGTCAAGAGAAAAAGAAAGATTGGAGAGAGAAAATACAAATGCCCATTACGCTGTACCATGTAAACCATATAGCCGTGAGGCCACCTGTTCTTTTTTTTTTGTCTTTTGTTCCATATCCACCCTGAAAGGCAAAGGGGGGGTTTTAAAAAAAATCATAACAATAATGGAAGAAGTGAAAGAATGTGAGAAGAGAAGATAGATGACGAATCATGTGAAGAGATATAACAGGAGAAGAGAAGTTTGTCAACACTGTCCCCTGCTCCTTCATCGCTCTCTCTTTCTCTCTCTCTCCCTTTGCCCAAACAACTTTCCACGCTTGACCCTCTCTTTTTCTGTTTTGATAGAATAAGAGAAAGGAATGAAGAGAAGAAGAGAGAGAAAAAAAGAGAAAAAGCACTCCACTCTCCCAGTGTCAGCGTTGTGCCAAACCCATCTCCTCTCCTCTCCTCGAGGACAAAGGGATAGACAGTCCCAACGATATCCAGCATCCCTGGTGAGAATAATAAACAGAGAAAATGAAGAAGGAGAAAAGAAGGTCAATACATCCGATAATCAAACCAAAGCCAAAAAAATGTCAAGATAAAATAGAATCAAATAAAAAAAATAAAACCGGCAGCGCCGCGTTTGTTGCCAAACTGCAATGTTCTAATACCTTGCGCTGACGTTCCTTGGGGAACACAAAAAGAAATGTAAACGAAAACGGAGAAGAAAGAGGATCCAGAGAGAAGAAGGAGATGAAACACAGAAAGGAAACAAATCAGATACCAAACACCCTCCATTTTTCTCTCCCTCTTGTTTTTTTTTTTCATCGACAGAGTGATCCATCCAGTCTGCGTTATCATCATGACGCGTCAAATGGGGGGGGGGGGGGTTGGGGTTAAACTCGGGATATTGCCTGTCGAGACAGAGAGAGACGAGAAACCTGAATCCATCCCCCTGGGAAGTCGTTTTTTCTGTCCGGCAGCCATCGATTCCCATATTTTCGCTCTTCTGCCTTCTTTTTGGACCTAAACCCAAAAGGCAAAAAAAAGGAAAAGGAAAAGAAAGAAGAAAAACATCCCGGTAGGAGACAAGACGGGAAGGATTACCCCTTCGGCATCGGTCGGTTCAACCGATCAATCATGCCCTTGTCAATGTCATTCTTCTCCACCAGATTGCTCAGACTCATGACGGAAGCCTGGTTCGTAGGCGTCTGCCCACCACCTCCTCCTGCCTGAGGTCCACGGGCCGGTGTCGAAGCTCCGCTCGAGCCGTTGTGTCCCGCCACCGTCGCCGCTGCCGCTGCCGCCGCACCGACGGGCGAGCGTCCGTCCGGTCCCGGGTGCGGCAGAGTCGGGTTGCCTCGCGGGCTGTTCCGCGAGAGAGGTGGCAGACCCAGGCCGCCGGGGCTGCTCTTGCTCGAAAATTCGGCCGGTGACCTCCTCCGCGGCTCTTCCTCCGCGGCGCCGACCCGGGGCGGGGGCAGTCGGTAGCCCTCGTCCTGGTCCTCCGACGACCTCCGCCGTCTCCTGCCGCTCTGAGATCCTTCGTCGCCCCTGGTCGAGTTGTAAGAGTACGAAGATTCGGCGGGCGACTGGGCCGAGGCTATGTGCTGCGGCGGAGGGGGTCCACCCTGCGCGTGAGGGGGGTAGTAGCTTCCCGGAGGTGGTCCCTGCTGCTGATGTTGTGGTTGTCCCGGTCCGGCGGGCGGGTAGCCGTGAGGCTGGGGTGCCAGAGGTTGGCCGTAGGCTCCGTAGAGGGGGGTTCCAGGCGGGACGCCGCCCGGGACAGCCGAGACGGGGATGAAGGCTGTCGAGCTCGACGACGAGACGGGCTGGAAGACGCATTCCTGGTTCATGCGCGCGCAGTTCTGACACTTGCCTCCCGGGGCACTCTGGTAGCCGCTGCAGCGGATCTGCGACACGAGGTGAGTTGTGAGCTGTCAGGGCCCTCGCGTACCATCAACGACGCCGTGAACCTACCTTTCTCTTCCGGCAATACTTGCACGCGATCGAAGTCCTCTGTCGCGGCGCAGCCTGCGCCATCGCCGGTCCACCGGCCTGGGGAGGGCCGTACTCGGCGTAAGGCGGCGCATACGGGTAGGCGTTTGGGGGCGGTGCGTGGGGGCCCTGAGGGGGACCGCGGTAGTAATAGGCCTCGGGGTGACCAGCATACTGAGGTTCGGAGGGCGGCTGCTGATAAGCGCCCGGCGGCGGTCGCCCGGCACCGTACGGCTCCGGAGGTCGGTAGCCCGGGGTTCGCGAGTCCGCCGACTGCGGCTGCAGGGGAGGGAGGTAACCGCCGGAGCCAGCCGGCTGCTGCTGCTGCTGCTGCTGCTGCTGTCCGGGGGGTGGGTAGCCGTTGGTCGTGTTGGGTGAAGCGTAGCGAGGGTCTATAGGAGGATAGCCGTGGCCTTGGGTCGGCGGAGGGCCGTAGCCCTGGGCTCGATGATCATGATGCATGGCAGGGAGCGAGACAGAAGCGGCCATACTTCCTCGCGGATTCTCTGCTGGCCTTTGCGCCGCACTCTCTCCTGTGCGAGGTAGGGGAGGAGGAGGGGGGGGGAGATGGGGATGTTGCTGCTGATGCGGTCTAGATTGCGGGTGCGCGTAACTGTCGTCTGCGTAGTACTTTCGGTATCGGTCGTCGGCCATGCTACGTCAGAGAGAGGCTGAGGGGACGGCGCGATGCGGATGGCGCACAGCGACCAGATTGGTCGTGATTCTAGACCGATTTCTCGTTTCTTTTTCTTTCTTCTTTTTTTTTTCCCTTCCTTTTTCCTTGGTGTCCCAGATTTTTTTCTTTTTTCTTTTTCCAGTAATCTCGACTCCGTCTGTTCCCTCAGGATCCTTCTCCACGCTGAAAGTAAAGTTAGAGACACGGTCGTCTGATTCTTCGTTCTGTGCCGCTTCGAATTGGTAAAAAAGAGTGTGTAGAGGGTGCCACGCTTTCTGTGAAGGGAAGAGATGTGTTGTCGCTGAAAGTGGGAGAGACGAGCGCAGATAAGCAAATAACGGTGGAAAAAAAATTATTAAAAAGTAGGACGAACGTCTGTAATGTGCAGAAGAAAGGAAGAAGAAGGGGGGGGAAAGTAAGACACCATTCGTGGCTGAAGACACACGAGGGTAAAGAAGGGGAGAAGGAGGGGGGCGTGAGGTCGGTCGGGGGGGGGGGGGGGGGGGGGGGGGGGGGGGGGGTGCGTGTGGCGAGGGCGTAGATGACGAATTGCCAATCAAGACGGGTGAGCGGCTCTCCTAGTATTCAACCAGTATGGGTACTCGTAGATGAAGACGTGTTGTTTTAGACCTCTTCCCGAATCTGCAATCTGCACTGGAACGCAAGACATGGACGGTTCAGACCTGAAGGCCTGGATTGACTCGGTCATCCGGATCCGTGGATCCGTAGGTGGTCCATCCCCGGGGTGCATGCCTCCCTGACGGGAGCCACTGGGCTCTCCCGCCCGGGAAACATGATGCTATGCCCGTCGGGTTACGGGGGGACTGGAATATGGGGCCCAGAAGAGCGGGTACAGCCCATACGTCGCCAGTCTGCTGAGAGGGAGGCGGAGAGAGACGCAGCTGATGAGGTTTAAGTTTTGGCGGCGCCGTAACCATAACTGGAGCCACGAGTCTCAAACAGCACGGACGTGTCGAAGATGGCAACTGGTATCAAGTCCAGCAAACGAAGTCGGCTGGCAAGCTTCTCGCTGCAGAGCAGAGATATCTGGGATAGCGGCCATAGTCTCATCCTACTCTCCTACCCGTCCTCGGCTGATCAACTCTCGCCCCCGCCACGTCAGACAGGCTATCGGTAAGCCCCTTGGCAGCGTCTTTCTGGTCTACCTGTGCGGTGAAACGCTCGTGCAGGTGAATAGATTGGCCTTCTGCTGGCGCGCCACGACGTTGTGAAGCCACCGGCGCAGCCTCGCAGTTGCCAACGGCTCGAGGGTGGAGTTGAGTTTGGAGGGAGATGACGGATGGCGGTGCGCAGATGGGAAAGGCAGCGGAAAATGGGAGGAATGGGCAATAAACACATAGGATAGGCACGGGAGGGAAAAAAAAGTAAATAAGAAAGTTGCCATGCACATACCAAAGATAATTTGATCAGAGTCTCCCAATGTGGATCAGACGGCGTGCGACGGAGATGAAGTCGGCAAAGAAAAGTTAATGAAAAAAAAAAATGAAAAGAAAAGAAGAGAGAGAGAGAGAGAGAGCAGATTAAAAAAAATTATAATAAAAAATTATAATAAAATATATGTCTGCTTCCCTCTCTGGCCGTGGAGGGGCACCAAATCACACACACAGCAAGGCGGAGTGGGAGGAGTAGAGAGAGTGAGGAGCAAGCGTCGGCGTCGTGGATGTTGGTCAGTTCCCAGACCGAAGAGCCCGGGTCCGGTTGCACCTGGGTACAGTAACCTCCGGACAAGTCCAGCTTATTCCAAAGATCCTCTCGTCCCTTCCAGATCGGACGGCACAGAAGCTGGTGAGACGCGATGTAAGGGTGGTGGAGGAGGAGGAGGGCGGACGAGGATTGTGTGAAGGGGGGAAAAAGGGCGTCGTCTGCGGCCGTGTCAGTCGAGGTGTGAGAGCGTGCGCCGGGGACCAAAAAAAGAGATCGAGGACAAGAGCCAAGGGCCGAGAAAGGCAGGCCTGGCTCAGTAGATTGGCTCAGTCAGGTCTAGCCACATTTTACCGGGTGCCCACCTCACTGACGTCGGGGGTCGGCCTACCCTCTCATCCTTTCTCTCTCTCTCTCTCTCGCCCTCTCTCGCCTTCTCCCGCTCTCTCCCGCCCTCTCCCGCCCTCGCCCTCTGTCACTAGGAGCACTCCGCCGCTGGTGCTTGCCAGTGCTCGGTACAGGGCTTCTGCTTGTTGGCTTGCTCTCTCTGCTGTGCCGCTAAGCCGCTGGGGCCGGAGAGCGAGGGTGCGACTGCGGCCATGGCGGACGCTTAACTGCACACCTCCCAAGCTGATTGACAGACTGGACGGCACGCGCCCAGGGAGAAGGTGAGATGGGTGGGGTGTGAGAGAAAGGGGGGGCGGGTGGTGGTGGCCAAAGGGGGGGTGTGTCTGGATGGAAAGGCGCGTATTGGCAACGTACCTGGACAGCTGAGTCAAGCATAGATGTGCTCCGTATTACCCAGCCAAGGTACTTCGAGAGTCGACGAGTGCAAGGGGGGGCCCAAGGGGGGTAAGGGGAGAAGGTGTGTGGACAGGTGACGATTGCTAGATGTACAACGCAGTCCCGCGGTTCTACTCTCCACAGTGCGTCAACGCCACCAGCTGGGAGTGGGGAGCAGTATGCAGACTGAGCCACACGAGTCACCGCCAATAACCAGTCACACAAGCTCCAAACCTCCGTCTGGGGCTCCGGGTCAAAAAAAAAAAATTCTGAAAAAAAAAATTCTGAAAAAAAATTCTGAAAAAAAAAATAATAATAATAATAACAACAAAAAAAATAATAAAAGCAGACCGGCCCTCGCAGGCCTTGAGGGGGAGGGGGGGCAACCTTGGACAAGGCTTACTACCAGCGCTAGGATGGATGGCCTAGGATGGATAGCCTACGATGGGGACGGTGCGAAGTTGCAGATGGCGCTTAGTCCCGACCGGCCACGGTGCAGTGCGGTGCGGTGCCAGAGCGGTTGGGTTGCAGACGTGGCCGCAGGATGCACGAGGCGTGTGCGTGACAGTGGGTCAATCAATCCCAGATCCCAGATCCCGGACCCTAGCAGAAAATAATAGCATGCCTACTCCGTACTCCGTAGATGAGAATTACGGTTGTCGCTGGTGCCCGATGGTTTCTCGTCCAAAAGCTGATACGTCGTTCTGGTCGCACCCTGTAATATCATGAATAGTACAGAGACCTTTCCGTCCCGAAACCGCCACCTCTCTGATGATATCATGTCAGTGACCAGCCAGCCAGAAGAGATAGCAATCCTTGCCGTGAGCGAGGAAGGGAGGAGTCGCATGCGGACGCAAGGACGTGGTTACCTTACAGCAGCGTTTTAGCCTCTCAAATATTGCCTCTCGTGTGTTACACCCGAAATCGGCGAGCGTGCGGGCCGCAGTCACTCACGATATTTCCTCCAGAGTGATCGTGTCAAATCTGCTGGCGGGGCAAGGGGGGTCGGAAGCCTAGTGCCACGTATAATGTTTGGGTCGCCGTCGAATAATATAATTGCCGGTCGATATGCTCTCGGCACTGTAGCAGGGCCGTGTCTGTCTCTTTCACAAGTGCTATGCCTGTACAGAGTACAATATGTGCAGACACGCGAAGGATCGGGACGCAACATCTCTTGGAACCTGGACACGACAGACCCGGTCCGCTGACGTATGTCAATCTGGCGCCCAGATCCCAGCCCGGGTGAGACAAAAAAAAATAAGGGAAAAATAAAATAAAAGCAGTTTGCTGTCGTAGCCCAGCAGAGGCCAAGGACTACGCGACGCTGGTCACCGGACAATCGGCAAGATGAGGGTGGCAGAAGGGAGAAGGAAGGAAAAGAGAGAGGAGAAAGAGGAAATCGGGACGGATGAGATGGTTTGATGTGAAAATTGACTGCTCATGCTCATCATGCAGTGACATTGGGCTGGGCCGGGGAAAGTGTTTGCAATCCTGGATCCAATCACCAGACCTTGTTGATCTATCCCGACACGCATCATGCGCGCACAAGATATCTTGCCCACAGACACGCACACAACTCCAGTGCCAAGGCTTTCCATCATAGCCAAGGGTCCCTCCCCTTCCTTGCCAACATCGACATTAGGCCAGCACTAGCACATACCCCAAGGCCACTGTCAACTTTCCTGTTTGTGCATAGGTCCTGTGTATACCGCACACTTCACATGGCCACGCCAGAAATCTCAAGCCGGGGGGCACTTGGGATGCTGGGACAGCACGCACCAAGATTGTAAGATCCCTCCCCGCCCACCGTGTGTGCAGAGCTAACCAACTGTTGGCTAACCTTTCTAAGCCCATCGTGGTTGGCTTGGGACCGCTCGTCTGGCTACTCAGTATGACGAGTATGAAAGCACCCGTACATCGTATTGTGTGCGAGGACGGGCACACATACGTATTTGGGAATGGCAGTTCATTCCCAATTGTCGTCGGATTGCCCCTACCACCGCCATGAGCAAAGCGCCATCGCGCCTCGCTAATGGCCACTCTCTTTGTGCCCTTGCTTCCCCCCCCCCCTTTTTTTTTCAACCTGAAATACGCTCAGAGTAGTGACAAGGAGTGTGTGGTGTGTCTGCTCGCTCCGTACTAGAGCAATGTGTCGTATGTACGTAGTTGTACGTCGTAATACTCGGTCCATGCTCCCGTACTCGTAGTATACCTGAGTTTGTCAGTAAGAGAATGGAGGAGGGGTACCCCTGATGCTCGTTTGTCACTGGGTCCGGCCCGTCATGCGCCCTCACCGCCCGGTCTCTCTGGCAGGGGTCGTGGCCTAGGGCCGCATTAAATGACCAGTCTTCGAATGTTGGAACCCTGCCAGAAGCCTGTCGGCAGCAGTGTCGACCTTTTCATTGGTGTGACTGGGGATGGGCCATGGCCATGAATGGAGAGGGTGGATCCTGCCGATTGGATTGCCCCCCCCCCGGCTCTAAGCCATGAGAACATGGCCTTTCCGAGAGACGGGGCCAGATTTAGCACAAGTAAGGATGGCGGAAAGTTTTGTTTGCTGTACTCCGTACTCTCTGCTCCGTGATACTCCATACTCGATGCTCGTAGGTATATGCACCACCAGCACCCAAGGACTTCCCGTATTCAGAAGCTCGGGAGGGGGGCGTTACGAGGCGACTGGTACGCTGTTTCGGAACCCGTTGGATACGACGTAATTTTACTTATTTTTTGCCTTCTCTCCCCCTGTTGGTAAAATGGAAGCGGCACGTCACAGCCTGGCGACCGGTCGTATGTTTTGCGCCCGCCCCTACCCCTCACCTTTCCGCGACTGGCTGGGATGGATGGCCTGCATTTCAGGGCGTTCGGGTATCTAGCAGGCAGGCATCATGTCGGGCGTCCCGTACCGCACAATGCAGCAGCCGCTGGTCACACGGTCACTCTCTTCTGTCAGTCACCGTTGGTGGAATGATGTAATGTTTCCACAACGGATCAAAGCTGCCAATTGAATGATGAACTTCTTTGCAGCCAAGACACTTTCCAGCTCCCTGTGAAGTCTCTGCCATGTGCCTTGTTCAAGATCTACCGAAACAGGTTAGATTTTTCTCGTTGGTCGAGCTGATTCCATGAATATCATTACTCTGTAATACTACATGCGGGCAAGCTTGGATGCTTTCGATGCATACGTGACAATGTACTGCAATACAAAGAGCATGACCTCCGGATTGCATGTTGTGACAGGGCCACAGCTTACCTCGAACACGACAATCATTCCCAACCAACTTCCCAACCCAGGTTGAGAGGTCTCTCCAAAAGACGCGCCACAATCCTCATACGAGTAATAGTTTATATCAGATGCTCATCAGTGGAAATACGCTCGGCCACTGTTCTCGGACAGTGTGGGTCTCGGTCTGGCGGGAAAGAAAGAGCGGTCGTTGACCAACGAAAAGTGCGGCTATCACCAACGCAAGCCTTCCAATATCGTATGTTAGCAGTAGTATCAATCATTCTCGTAAAAGGGTAGCCCATTGTGCGAGTAAAGAATCACCACAATCAGCCTCTGGCATCGCAGTTTATATTCAGCCAAAATGAATAGTCGCACGCCGCCCCTCCACGAATTCGTCTCTCTGTCCAGGGCGAGGTAGAAATAATGGATCCCTGGTTAGCGACTTCTTCCAGGCGCCTCCTACCCGTGCTCATTGGTTAGTTGTGTTCTGTCGCTTGCCCAAGTCAGTGCTAGATTCAGGCACGAGCCACAGAGAGGGGGAAAATCAACACAAGTGGAACCGCACACTTTTATCGGTTTGGGGATGAATTTGTGTTTGTGTGTGTGAATAACTTGCCTTGCCCGAGTTAAAAGCAAATTCGCGCCTCAATACCGTCGGGGGCATAAGAGGGAGGTTGACTTACCTGTTCTTGTAGACCCCGACAGGACTTCGAGCCACCTCAACCTTACAGCCAACACTGTTGTTGGTGATTCATAACCACATGTGACGTGTTAGGGAGAAATCACACTCCCCTCGCGCGGTTGGCGGCGGATCGCGCGTCGGGGAAAGATCCATGCAGTGGAGTGTGCTCCCGATTGACTGGAAACGCACAACGCTTGGCCGCTGTATGGCGCGACCGGTTATCCTTGGGCATTGCTGCAGGACCAATCATCGACCGGAACCGCGAGTTTGCCACTGCCACACAGACCCGCGAGTTTTTTCAGGGCTTTTGAATTGATCCAAGGACACGCGTGATTCGCAAAAAGCCTTTCGAGTTGCGGCCAAACATACGTCGTGAACCGTATGTCATCCACGGGGACCCGTCATGTTGTTAGCACCCGACATCTAGTGTAACGTCGGTATATGATGCATAGAGAATTGTATTGGCTCTGCTCTCTTAGTATCGGTTTGTCCTCGTAACTTCTGTGCTCTCCAAGCTCCATCACAGGGTTCCGCAACGAGGTGGTGCAGCCACCGCAGAAGGCGTATGAGTAGCCCTCGCACCACATCTTCATCAAAACGCGAGCAGAGCTTCGAGGGCTGATCCTGGAACATGACTTGATCTGACTGAGCGTGGTGCGTTCGGATAGTGCTTCCCGGCGGAGCGACCCTGTTGTACAACTGTTGATGCGCACTCGTTAGGTCTTCATGTAGCACTGAATTTGAAACCCTGCATCCTGAGATTAGGCAACTGCGTCGTACGGGCCATGGACGATCGGCATACGGTATTCGGGAAGGAAGCCCAACAGCTCCCGTGCGACGTACAGCTCTACAACAGCACTGTTTGAGCATATAAGACCCCCCAATGCTGGCGTTTTCACTTGGCTGGATACGA